ACCCACACCCACACCCACACCCACACCCACACCCACACCCACACCCACACCCACACCCACACCCACACCCACACCCACACCCACACCCACACCCACACCCACACCCACACCCACACCTTAATTACATACTGCGATGCACGGGCGTACACAATCAACTACGGCGAAAAACAGAGTGGATATGAGCGTCGGTGTGAGTCTACACGTGGGGTCACATGAAGTGATCGAAAGTTGGCCTCATGCAAACTGGAGTCCAAAATCCTTATTTTACCATATTTTTACTATATAACGCGGAAAGTTATCAACACATACCGATAATGCATGTCATTGGTAAATAAGTCATCAGTAATTAACCCATTCACCACGATGAGGTCCACCAGTGGATTCCACTATATTTTAGTAAGAAAATTAATAGAAAAAAGCTTTCTTTTCTTTTATTCTTAAACGGAAGGTTACACATAATGTGTGATCTGCTTTGCCTTCGCTATTTTCAGAATCATTTGTTACATAGCATGATGCTTCTCGTTAAAACAATCAAGACAAAAAAATTTGTTACAATCAGAACAGAAAGTTTTTACTCTCTTTGTTGTTGAATGACACGCTTCTCTTGATTGTTGTTCCCTATTTTTCTCGTAACAACCAACACAACGTCTTCGGACATCACGAGCAGCTCCTTCTTTTTCTTCAAGTTTGTGATCAGCAAGTTTGCGTTTCGTTTGACCTGTTGATTTTTGTCTTGGATCCGGCTTCAGCTTCTCGAATGGCATGCCAAGCAGTAAAGATCGGACAAGACTTTCACTAAATTGCAGAATGGTCACTTTGCTTGCTGCGTAGTTTTCCTTGTATATCAAATAGCTATTTACCAGTACCGTCCCGAAAACTAATTCAAATGCTACCTTTCGGTACCACTTTATTGACCGCCTGAGGCACGTATAATATGATGATAGTTGATCAGATAAATCAGTACCTCTTCTTCTTTCATTGTAATCCAGTACAACTTGTGGCTTCATGATGCGTTCATTTTTACTATTGATATTTCCAGTATCTACTACAGTTGCTGAATCCGAAGGTCTTGTGGATATCATCAAGACGTTCTTTTTATTTTTCCACATGATCAATTTTACTCCTTCTTTATTCTGAAGTCCGTAAACTTCACCCCGTCGAAGGTTTTTTTGAGCAACTTCGCTGCCTGATCTGGCACGATTACTTCTCAGTGTCCCAATAAGATACGTATCATGTTCTAACAAACGCTTTGCCAGAGGAATGCTGGTAAAGAAGTTGTCAGCTACCACGGTGCGATAACATCCCTCAAGATCATCCAATAAATGCATCACCACTGTTTCAGCATGCCCCAGACCTGCCATTGAATCTTGTTGACCGGTGTAGA